CAACAAGAAGGATACAGAAATAGTGAATATGGCTTAAGCATTGTGTCTGAAATCTCAAAGAGGATAACACAGATCACAGAATCACATCCCACCTTGAAGAAACCAGTCATTCACATTGAAGGACTAAATGATGCTGCTAAGACGAAGTCAGAAATATTAAAGAGAGATTTTATTAGTCTGCTTAGGACTGCAAAACTATAATTCTAAAGTGTTGCTTAGTGGACCTATAGGAGCTACTTCAACAGGAGATTAAATGTACAGCACATTTTTCTACCTGAATATATGGATCAAATAAGTCTGCTCTGTAAGATCAGTTAGCTTCATTGATAACTTTATTGTCTTCTGGGAAAAGACACCTCTTCAAGAAAGATTGGTTTCACCGAGGTCAGATGCAAAAACTTTGGCTTCCAACATTTTCTATCAGAATATTAGATTATAGACAGATCAATATATGGATGTGCCCTAATTTTCTCACACTGAATAAAAACAAAACTGAGGTAATAATAATCTTTGCGCCGAAGGAGGAGAGATCCAAAGTTAGCACACAGCTCAAGCTACTACAGCTAGAAACCACTGGTTATTCCCAGTGTCATGGTGTCATGATAGATGCACTAAGAAAGTACAACACCTCGACCCGACTCTGAATCCTTACACTGGCTCAGTGTAACTCAGAGAATAGACTTTAACATCTGTGTGTTAGTCTATTAATCACTGAATGGATCAGCACATAAATACATAGCGGTATTGTTGTCAGAGTAACAATCACCTCACTTCTAATTCAACACTACTATGTATCCAGCACTAGAACCAAACATGAAGAAGTAGCATTTAATTCCTATACTCCAATTACCTGAAACAAACTTTCAGTAGACTGTAAAAGTACTGAAACCCTGAGTTCTTCTTTTTATTAAAGTTAAAAACCCATTTGCTCAGAACTTCCTTTTACCGTTAATTTTAAACTGTTATCTGAGGTATCATTAGTTTAAGTTTGTGGTCCAACTGTCTTATTTGCTTCACTACCTGCTTTTAATATGTTTGTATCTTTACTTTCTTTTATTGTTTTTATTTTCCTCCAATTTTATTGAGTACATGCAGTTCAATGCAGTGAGGAATACTCTGATCTTAATATTGGAGAAACCAAACAACCTCTCCGCAGACGTATGGCCCAACACAGAAGAGCGACCTCCTCGGGACAAGACGCTGCGATACATCTACACCTTATGGACAAACAACATTTTTTTGAGGACCAGAATGTTCACATCTTGGACAAAAAAAATAGGTGGTTTGAGAGGCTATTCCAAAGGGGCGGACCCCTTCACCCGTTTCAATTTGCATGTTTTCAAAACAAAAACAAGACTTTGTTGGGCTACTGTATAAAACCGCAAACTCAATGCTATTTCTGATGTTTGAATTAAAAAAACCTTCCAGGATAGTAGGCGAAATGTCTTCAAACTTGGAAACTAAGGCTACATTCACACTGCAGTCTGAAGTGACCCAAATCCGATTTTCTTGGCCCATACAGTATGCGACCTGTTTCTGATCTTGTCATGGCTGTCTGAGTTACACAGATCCGATTTTTTCCAGTGTGCCCAAGATCACTTGGCTATGTGGTCCTGAATCCGATATGAATCTGATCTTTTCAAATGCGACCTGTGTCTGAACGGCCAGGTCACATTTGTTCGACCTGAACACCATTAGCACTTGACAAAGGTCACTATTCTGGGTCTTGCTATGAAGAAGCTGCAAGAAAAACAAGAACCATGGCGGACGATAATGCGGAGAGCAATATTTATGTTAAACCATCTCTATAATAACTGTTGTGCAGAAACATAACCGTGTAAGGTTGAGTGGAGGTTTGTAGAGGACCCAAATGCAGAGATAGAAGCTGAGTTGGTTTCTTGCAGATTTAATAAGGAGTGATGGCAACAGAAGCATTTAACCAGAAATAACTAATTAAGGAACACAGGAGCCAAGACAAAGGGGAACATATGGGTTAAGGAGGGAATGAAGAGAAGCCAGCAAACAGTAACTGCAAAGGAGGAGTATATATGCCAAACAGTTCAAAGAGTGGAGTAATGAATTAATTGGGAGCAGGGGTGGACAGAAGGATCTAGAAGGGAGCTAGGGGAAAGGGGACTGAGATGAGGAAGGAACAAAACTTAAGCAAGAAATACATAGGAACTCAAATACAACCAGAAAAAACTAGAATGACGGGCACGGAGGCCTTAGTCCTCGACGTGGCCGACCCGGCTTCAAATCTGATCTGTGGTCCTTTGATAGAGGGAGGAAATCAACTCTGTTGCTGCATTGTAAGTTTGTGAAAGTTCAAAACCTCACTCCCTCTGTTTAAGGTTGTTTTTTCTTTCGAGTTTTTGCGGCACAAGTGCCTCATTTTTTCAACAGCAGGCTGACAAGAAAGGGGGTAGGAGAGAAGGGGAGAGACATGCGGCAAAGGACCACAGGTTGGATTCGAACCCGTGTCGGCCGCGTCGAGGACTAGGCCCCCGTATATGGGTTGTGCACGCTAAGCACTGCACCACCTGCACCGGCTTCCTTTACACCCCTTTCAAGCCACATGTATTCTTTGTCCACAATGTGAACATTTTGGTCCTCAAAAGAATGTTCTTTGTCCATAAGGTGTAGATGGGCCGCAGCGTCTTGTCCGGAGGAGGTAGCCCATCTGTGTTAAGCCATGCGTCTGTGGAGAGCTTGTTTGGTTTCTCCAATATAAAGACCAGAGTATTCCTCACTGCACTGAACTGCATACACCACGCCGCTCATATTTAGTCTGGGTGTTTTGTCTTTAGGACGCACTAGTCTCTGTTTAAGGGTCTTGTTTGGTTTGAAATGTACTGGGATTTTGTTTTTTTGGAGAAGATCCTCTTAAATTTTTCAGAGACTGCAGCAACGTATGGGATGACGATGTTTTTTGCATTTAAAATTTTCTCAGCGTTATGTTCTGCGTGTCTCTTGGATTTCCTTGCTAATTTGCCAAACCCCCAGTTTGGGTATCCACAGGTTTGGAGAGCATCTTTGATGTGTTTCTGTTTCCCTTCTGTTTTTGTAAGGTCGTGCTCAGCCCGGTGTTGTAAGGTTCTGATGACAGAAAGTTTGTGTTTCCTTTAGTTCCATCTGGGGTTTTACCTTTGTTTGTTTGGTTATTTGTTTTTTGATTTTTTTTTGTCCTATAAAACAGTGCAGAAGAAAAACAACTGTAAACCTTACATTTAAATTTGCCTGCTTACATTCATCACATTGTATAACTGTTATTTTTCTTTGTTCATCTGCAAGAATATTATGATTACAGTTACCTTATTCACCTCAATCTCTTTTTAAATTTCTTAATTATGCAAATTACAATTTGAATAAAGGAAACAAAAAGGAACAACTTACAAGTGTTACAGCTGAAAAAGCTTTTCATTGTTGTCATTTTACAGCTTTTACCACTATTTCTCTTGCCTGTATGTTTTGCTGCCTGTTATTCTTCATCCAGTTCAGTTCTTATGTGCAATGCACCAATATTTGCATTTGTTTCCAAGTATCACCTCTCTTAAACACAGTGTTTTCCACCATGGTCTAGCAACTGTTTCCTTTAGGAATATGTTGTGCGACAGTAAAACATTTATGAGATAATGTGATGTAAATCTGCTAACTTAAGCATGACATGCATCTTTTCACTATATTCAGTGTTTCTATGCTGTGATTATTTGTTAATACACAGTAATGTTGACTATTGATGTAAGACTTGCTTTAGCCCCTTTTATTATATAAGTAAACAATTTTTCCCAAAAGATTTTAAATGAGCAGTTGCATCTTACTGACGTAGGAAAACACCTGTATTGTGCTGCAGTCTGCTTAGAAGCATTGTGGTGAGAAAACTGTGGTGGCCCTGCATAATCTATTTTAGGCCCTTCTTATATATGAACACAGACTTAAAGTAGGGGCCCTTTACAGAGGTGTGTCTGAGGCCCCAAAATGGCTATGACCAGTACTGACCTCAAATAGGTCATTAGTATTTGTTTCTTTTTTCTTTGCATGACTGATATTGAGGGATTTCTTCTTTCAACATTTTTTTCCATCTTGTCATACTTTATCATGACATCTCTAGTGGGTGTAGATGACAAAAGATTGATGTGTATTAAACATTGCATCCCTCAGAGAATTGCTTTGTTTTTCACCTCAGGTCTGTCTTAAGCCTGCCACACAGGCTGTCAGATTGAAGTCAACTGAGACTTAGCAATGACTGCCTTTCTTGGCCATATAGGGATGTAAGGGACCAGTCCACTTCAACCCCCCTTCTTCTACAAAGACAAATAGAGATGGTAACATAGTGTTTTGTGAAATACTGTACTGATTCCACGTGTTTCATATATTGTGAATCTCCTCCACACTGTTGAAAGGGAATTGTTTCATAATCTTCTAACAAGTGTGGTCAGCCCTGTTCCCTGCTTACCCCTTTCTGCCAAATGTTGGACTACACTTCTACATTTCTAGCTTCTAAAGTGGTGGCTTGGCCCCCTCAACATTAGACCCCAGATTTGGCCTTGAGAGAGATTTGACCATGATATATTTTTAAATAATAAAATGCCTTTTATATTTATCAAAACGAAAAATTATTGGAATAACCCTACATCAAATGAGATGGTGTTTTACTTTTTGATATTATTCTCATCCTTAAGCTACTGTGATGTAGTTTAACCATTAATGTTCTCCATTAAAGTATTCCAGAGGTAAAGATGAATGTGCATGTACCATTGCCACGTACTAACGAGGTCCCTCATTCTCTGTTTGATAACTTTTCCCTGTTTTACGCACGGGGAGCGCACAGAGAAGAGAAAAGAATCCCTTCTTCCCAGGTTTGTGCGCGCCTTCCTCACCCTCAGTGGGTAACTCCAGTGCCCTGCCAACCCCCCTTTTCACCCCCCCATTTCCCCTCTCTGCGCCGTTCCGCCAAAGGACCCGGCGTTACGTCAGAAAGTGCACAACACAAGCAAGGCAGAGTCTGCGGAGCTATTCGTAGACATTGCTGCCAACCGCGGCTCGGGGCTGCCTGCGAGCTCAACGCAGCCGGTGCAATATTCAAACACAAGCCTTATAAAGTAGCGACAGAATGTGGTAAGTCATTTGTTGATGAATGCTTTTTAGTTTGCTTGCTGGGATTTATTTGTCTCACAGCTTTTTTTCACGTGACAGGTCACAGTTGCTGGCACAATTACGCGTAAAACTAACAAGGAGAGTGAGCGGCGTGCAGATGGGGAGTAGACTGGTTTAAAAAGACAAAAATGACATGATGATGATGATGCAGCTGAGTTATTGACGCACGGATGCTTTTTTCTTTTTTTCAACTTTGATTTGTTGTTGAGCTGAATAACAAACAACATGCCCCACGCTCGAAATAGGAACCCAAGCCCCATCCCGGAGGTAACATGGGACACGGGACTCAAAGAGATGAACGAGACCTGGAAAGGGGCTATTGCTTGTCTGGGGGTAGCTGTCTTCTTCGTAATGACCATCGGGATCATTTACTGGCAAGTGGTGGACCAGCCCAACAAGAACTGGATCCTCAGGGGGACTTTCAGTGGACTCATCTGGGAGAGGAGAACCCACTCTCTGGTCATACAGACTCTGACCGAGGACAGGACCTACGTGGAGATAGACGTGGGAAACGTAGGGAATCCCGACATCGAGGTCCCATTCGTGAGGAACCTGTGCTGGTTGAACAAAACCGAGTTCTGCTACACATGGGACTCGGTGGCCGAGGTGAAGATCTCGCTGGAGGTTAACGAGGATGCAGAGACTGAGTGTTACAGCATGGCCTGGACGCCGGTGCACTGTCATGTGGAGCTGAAGGTAGGCGCGCGCACCGGTCAGACAGTCCGCGCTAGAAACCTCATTGCGCACAGCATAGGTGAATGAAAAGCAACAAACTTTATTATTGTACGCATTGAAATTACATTCAATGAACTGATTATTTGCTGTGCAAACCCAAACCATTGTCCCGAAATAAATTTGGGAGACCATACCATATCATATTCCGAGTTTATATCTATGTAGATAATTTATATATATTGGATATGAAATATTAACTATAACCCTTTATAGGGTACTCAGTGAAATACTTTGGAAATCAAAATATCAAGCCAATAGTGTTATTGGAATTCAGTATAAGACCTTATTACCTAAATAAAAAATATTTGTATATTTTGATGGTAAAAATGAATGTCAATGTAATAACAAGAAACGCCAACTTGCCCGAATACATTAAGAAAAATAACAAAAGTGTTTCTACAAGAAATTAATGAAAAACACTCTGAGAGTGATAGAAACACTTTTTTCTTTTTGGTCTAACATAACCTTAGAGACATTAATGCTGATACTGGTGCTTATTTTTTTTGTTTTGATTATAAACCTAAATATAATAGTTAACTAGGCTTATTATTTTTTTAACTTTACTTTTTTAACGTTTTACCTTTTTTCCAAACTTAATTTACAGTAGGTAATATATCATTCAAGGGTTTATCTAATTGTTCGAATGCCAAAATAAGATGTACAGCCATGTAGCAGCATCTTTGCTGGATGGCTGGATATAGATCTAGTGCTTCTAGACCTCACTGAGGGACGTGGGGACTCTATTTGTAAGGCTTATGCAGGTGATCAAAAACGGTAACTTGCACTATAAAGGGTTAATCTTTTCAAAATCTGGGTTTTTGATTAATTATATATCTTCAGTTTAATTATTATGATCATTTACCTGGCATGGTCACACAATCCTTTGTGGCAAAATGCATCTTTCCTCAAGTTTTGGGAATAATTATAAAGATAATGCAAATGTATATTTAAAAAAAAGAACGAAGCTATTTAAAAGACTTGAACTGAAAAAGCAAAAGTTATCATGCATTAGTTTATGTTACGGCAGGAGAAAAACACCAACAACAAATGGGTAATGCAGGAAGGATACTTCCAGGAGAAACCACCCTGCTAATTTGGCTTTGTGTTTGTGTGGGCTGATCGCAAGAAACACAACAATCAAACCCATGAGTTGCATTTACACACAAAAAAAAGAATGCAACCATTTTTGGCATTTACTTAATCATATTTAGTTACTTTAACATTTTTTTTTCATGTTAGCAGGGTAGGACATAAAACAATTGCATTAAAGTACCTAAATATGATTAAGTAAATACCAAAAACGGTTGCATTCTTTTCAGCATATAACATGCGACAGAAATAGCATGATTTTCAAAGGAATTGTTAGAGCTTTAAGACTCATCTTAGCTGCAAAGTTTTCAGTTAAAAATGAGTCAAAGGGTTGCAAATCATAGCAAGGCCACCAGAAACCTTGGTTTGACTTAATGCAACATCTTCATGCAACACGTTTGATCAAACCATATACTCTTTTGGTAATAAACACTTATATTTTTCTGTGGTGATATCAAATTAGATATTTACGAGGGGAAAAAGCAAATATAGATGAAATGGAAAAATCAAACAATAAGATAACAAAGAGAACTCTGATCAATATTCTGATGCTTTATGTGGTGTCACCAGAGTTATATGTGTATGGAAGCTTTTTTTTGTGATAGTAGATATTACCTTTCAGCAAACTAATATTTACAATAAGAAGAGCTGACTAAAAGTAGTATGGGATTACACCTTTAATTTTAACCAGTTTAACATTAGCTGGTGCTCTGATCAAACTTGCCAGAAAGCTGATCTTTAGTATACATCAATGACAGATATTTTTTTTTATTATTGTTTTTGTACTGTTTTTCATTCATGTTCACTGTACAGTAACTTGTCCATTCAAACTGTTGGTCTGAAATTTCAGAAGCACTTATTTATTGTGATATTTAGTGAGGTTAATCCATCTCCAGTGGAACATTCCTCATCATGTAACTCTCCCTCATGTTGTGTGACTGTTCCTGACAAATCTGTCTGTGTCCATGTCGCCTTTGTTGTCCTCATTTTCTCGAAATCCTGCCCTCTTAGTTGATTGGTTGGGCATGGATCCCAGCTTCACTGACATGTTTGTGCATTTAGTGAAAAGTCTTTCTTTTGGAAAACCCTATTTATTCAATCGCTTCTTAGATGTCCGATGAACAAGTATAACGTGACTCTTTGTGTCAGTCAGTTTTACAGTGAGGTTTTAGTTCATTTGAGTGGTAAAACATGAAGCTGACACTAAGTAAGACTAGACGGGATGTAACATAGATTTATTTCTATCCATTTTTGTGGTCTAATTTAAATAAAGTCTCACACTGCAACGGCCTACATTTGTTTCAGCATAAAATCTTTAGTAATAAAGACGCCTTAATTTACATATGTTGACAATAAGACCATGGAATCCTTTTTAATGCTCGCTATTTTTTTATGTCTTTTTTCATTATTTTTTTTTACTTGTATGAGTATTGGGATCTAATCCCACCAAAGTCTGATTGCTTCAGTATTTAAGTGCCTTTGCACTTATCATCGATCAGGTGAAAAGTAGACAATTTTTTCATTTCTGTTTACAAAGTCTTTTTTTTATTTTTATAAATCTCTGTGCAAACCAATCTAATAGAAAACACTAAAAACTGTGACATTTCCTGTTTATCTGGTAAAAACATAGAAAAGAATTTCAGTTTTCACCAACAGATATCAAGCACATACAAAAAAGGGAAAAAAAAGAAAATGTTATTAGATTATGAACTGGATATGATTCTAACTTTGCCACAGACCACGAAGCTCTTCATAAAACTCTGATTTATGGAAGAACTGATAACTTTTTCAGTGTCGCTAATGAAATGCTGCCAATGGCAATGAGTCGCCTAACATTCACTGATTATTTGTATTGTTGAACTTCCCATTTAGCACCTTTATCTATTAATCTAGAGTACTTCTGTTGCATTCAGTCTGTGCTTGATTGTGTTTGTGTACATTTTGCATTCTTTAAGGACTGCTTCTCCATGGCCAATGTCTCCTGGTACGGCGGTGCAAGTGTCCAGGGTCAGACCTGGCCAATTAATGATCAGAACATCACAATGCAGCCATACGTGGTCAGCGATCTGAGGGACACACCATCTGGATACGGCTCTCCCCTGGAACGCTTCTTTCTTGGTTCATCGGGTAAGGTGCCATTGTTTGGATTTGAAACATGCTCTTCATACACACACACCAATGAACACATAAGAACAGATAGGTCTTTTCTAATGCGTAACACGACACAGGGTCAGCTGTTTCTGCACACCTCTCACAAGGATTGTGGAAATCTGACACTGTCCCAGTGGGTCTGCAATCCCAGGGTGTGAGGGAAACCCACTGTTGAGTTGATTTGTTTTCATGCATCTCAAATCCCTTATGTTTTTGTTTTTTTGACTGCATATAAATCCAAACCTCTTAAGGCAGCACAAACAAAACACAATGCTGATTTGGTACGTTGTCTGACCCAGAAATAGAGTGTGGCATAATCCTGTCTGTGGCATTTCGCTCCATTAATTTTAGGATTAGATCACAAAGGGAAACAAACCACCTTTATCATCTTAAATTGACTCTCAGGGATCCAGGCGTAATTGCCTTTTGTCTCTATTAAAAGGACCGTTTTGGAAGAGAGCCCTGCCGACTTGTTTAACTCCATGGGTTATTTTTGGGGGGTGTTAGATTTTTTCCAGGGGGCAAAGCGGGAACCACTAGCGGATGTGAATGGTTAATGTGACTGATGAGGAATGTGTACAGTGCATGTGTACATGTGCTTGTGTGGCAAAGTACAGCATTAGCCTGTGGAACTTAATACTTAGAAGTTGTCCTAATCTGGTGTTTAGCCTTTGAGCAGCTTCTTAAACAAAATGAATTTTGTTCTCAAATATTTTAGACTGAATTACATTGTTATTCTGTGACGCAAAACAGTGATGAACATGGTCTGATACTGATTTTTTTTCTATGGTTTTTCACATAGATTTCCATTTTTTAATGGCTTGTGACAAACCAATTATTATTAGTGTCTCCTGGAAAACCTTTTTCAATTTTTTTTCACATTAACAAAGATATCATGGACAAAAGTAACAGAAAACAACTAATTCATCACATCAGATTAAAACTCGATAGTGCCAAAGGCATTATTTCATCAGATAAATACATACTTATTAGTTGACTTAAAAGGCTTAAAAAACACTAATGGAACCTTTAAATACAAAGGAAAGCTAAACTGTTCATATTTTTACTTAATGTATATAGCAAACTGAAACAAATTTCAAGGGTATAAATATTTTTTTTTCTATGGCACTCTTCATGCAGCTTTATGTCAGCTTCTATTCTGTAAATGTTACGCTTTAATTGTGTGTTACAAAAATGATAAAGTGCCAAAATTAGAGACTTAACTAACAGATTCTGTATTATACCTGACCTGTAACTGTATCATCACTCAGAAGGATATTAAAACAAATGCACACAAGCTCCTGCACCAATGTTACATAATTCAATTAAATTCAATTCAGTTTATTTATATAGCACCAATTCCCAACACATGTTATCTCAAGGCACTTTATACTGTAGTTCACCAGATCATACAGTCAAATTGATTCAGAGTTTTGTATCTAAGGAAAACCAGTTGATTGCATCGACTCACTAACTCGAAGGCAATTCCTCAAACTAAGCATGCTTGTAGCGACAGTGGAGAGGAAAAACTCCTATTTAACAGGAAGAAACCTCCAGCAGAACCAGGCTCAATGTGAGCGGCCATCTGCAGAGGCCGAATCGGGTTTTAAGGAGACAGAAACAGACATACAGAAAGAAGCAGAGATACAAAAGGCACACAGCCAAGCAGACGAGCTCTGAGCCAGCCATGAAGAGAGCACATCCAGCCAGTCACAGTCAGAGAAACAGGACTACACTGAAAAACAGGTCGATCTCCAACATCTATAAACACAGGTGTTTATGGCAGCAGCACAGCTGATATTTCTCACCAGGATGGTGTCACAGCCAAACAGGAACAGATGAGGCGAGGCTACTTTGAGAAAAAACAGAGAGAGCAAAACATTAGAGATTGAACTAACAGATTCCGCAGAGTGGGAGAAGGGAATTGAATGAAGCAAAATGATGAAAAAAGGGTCCCTATGTCCTCCAGAAGTCTAAGTCTATAGCAGCATAAATATACAGATAGCTCAAAATAACCTCAGCCTCTCTAACTATAAGCTTTATCAAAAGGAAAAGTTTTAAGCCTACCCTTAAACGTAGACAGGGTGTCTGCCTCACGGACTAAAACTGGTAGTTGGTTCCACAGGAGAGGAGTCTGATAACTAAAAGATCTGCCTCCCATTCTACTTTTAGAAATTCT